TAAAAGTCCATGGCAGACACTCACTGGTTAGTGTCCTCTATCTTCATCTCCTTCTAATTTTCAATACCCTTCACTGTGAATCAAGAAATCAGAATAAAAGGTGTTTCCTTTTAAATCCTTTCATAGAAATCGAAGAGAAAAATTTGGGGTTTTTCTGAGTTTCATCCAAATAAAAATCGAAGCTTTTTAATATATGTTGTGTGTTTGTGTTCTGTTTTCAGCGTTTTACCCATTCAAGGAAAGTTTCCAATATCAGGTTTTGTTACTGTTTTTGAATCATTTCTTGATTTGCCATTTTTGTTTTGTAGGAGATGCTCCTCGTATCATTGCTCGTGGTGGGTTTTCTGGGTTGTTGCCAGATTCAAGTATCGATGCTTATAGTTTTGTATCGCAGACTAGTGTTCCTGGTACTCTTCTTTGGTGTGATGTGCAACTAACGAAAGATGCAATTGGGATTTGCTTCCCTGATGTCAAAATGATGAATGCTTCTCATATTCAAGATGTTTACCCTAAACGGAAGAATTCTTACTTGCTTAATGGAGTCCTTACTCAGGATTGGTTCACCATTGATTTCAACTTCAAGGATCTGAATACCGTTTTCTGTAAGTTCAAGCATCTTTTTTGAGCTTCAGTATAGGCTAGTGGATTCTAGTTGTTGAAAGATCTTATGTTAATTAGTTTATCTATGTTTTTAGGGGTAATTTGTCTTGACATTTGATCTAACATATATGTTGAAATTGAGTACGTTTTAGTATTGTTAGATTTGATTGCTGCTGTTCATTGAGGTGTAATTTGCTTGTATTTTCATACAAATCATTTTCACCTGTGCAGTGAAACAAGGAATATTATCGCGGTCAGATGCATTCGAAGGAAACAATTACGCGATATCAACAGTTAAAGATATATCTACGCAGTTAAAACCTGAGGGTTTTTGGTTAAATGTTCAGGTAATTCTTTTGTCAGTAAGTTGCTTGCTGTTTTCCATTTTTTGTTGTAGTGAAAGATCTCAGCTCATTCTAATAAGTCTGTTCTTTATTCAGCACGACGCATTCTATGCCCAACACAATCTGAGCATGAGCAGCTTTCTGCTATCAATTTCCAAAACTGTGATTATTGACTATCTCTCTTCCCCTGAGGTGAATTTCTTTCGGAACATTGGTAGCCGTTTTGGACGCAAGGGGCCAAAGTTTGTGTTCAGGTTTCTCGAGAAAGATGATGTTGAGGTGTCAACCAACCAAACCTATGGATCTCTTGCGGGAAACCTAACTTTTGTCAAGACGTTCGCTTCAGGAATTCTTGTTCCCAAATCTTACATATGGCCGGTCGAAAGCCAATACTTGCTTCCCCATACATCCTTTGTTCAAGATGCTCACAAAGCAGGATTAGAAGTATATGCATCAGGTTTTGCAAACGACTTTGATCTTGCATACAACTACAGTTTTGATCCATTGGCCGAGTACTTATCTTTCGTGGACAATGGAGATTTCTCTGTGGATGGCGTGCTCTCTGATTTTCCACTAACAGCATCTTCAGCTGTTGGTAAGTAAATCTCTTCTTCTGGATCACATATATATTTGACCTATTTCTGCTAAAAACTACAACTACACAAGTGAAACTATTTTTCACTTTTCCTTTAAACTTTTCTTGTTCCTCAGACTGCTTCTCCCATCTTGGAAGTAATGCTTCATCACAAGGTATGTGGGTTATTCATATGCGTTTTACTGGCTACATTATTGATGCCATGTCACAATTACTAACGGTATAAATTTTTAATCTTTTGTATGGTTCATGTCATGCACAGTGGATTTTCTTGTTATATCCAAAAATGGAGCAAGTGGAGACTACCCTGGCTGTACTGACTTGGCCTATACAAAGGCAATCAAAGATGGTGCTGATGTTATTGATTGTTCTCTTCAAATGTCATCAGACGGGATTCCGTTTTGCTTAAGTTCAATTAATCTTGGGGATAGCACAAACGTTGTCCAAAGTCCTTTCAGAAACCGTTCTACAGCTGTTCCTGAGATCGGCTCACTTCCTGGAATATACAGCTTTAGTCTGGCATGGTCTGAGATTCAGACGTTGAGACGTAAGTTTCTCCCATATTTTTTTAAGACTATCTACTCCTTTTGGCATTCTTACTCTAGGCAGTGTGTTGTGCTGGTAGGATCCTTGAAACCTTTTTTATGGTGATAAGAAATAAGGGAAAAGAGAAGCTCCAAAAGTGTTCTTACGATAACCGAGTTGTTAGCTGCACGATGATTCTTTCAGGGTGTCCATGGCAGATACTAATTATACTTCTAGTTATTTAGAGGCTACCAATAGATGCAAAATATCGTTTTGTTGCAACTTTATGTCCCTTGATAATAGTTATGTAATCCGTCTTGATATCTGTTGATGTATATGCTTCTATCTCAAAACCGGTTTTAGCTATTTAAATGTCATTGATTATGCTTTTCCCCCCATCTGTTTGCAGCTGCTATTGAAAACCCCTACAGCAGGGAATTCACTTTGTTTAGGAATCCAAGGGAGAAAAGTTCCGGGAAGTTTGTTACGCTTTCTGATTTCTTGAACTTGGCAAAAAACTCCAGCTCTCTAGCCGGTGTTTTGATCAGCGTGGAGGTGAGATTTTTTTCCATCATTAGAAAAAACTGATCTTTGTCATTTCTTTTGATGGTTACAACGAGTATGATTTGTTTTCCTTCAGAATGCAACATACCTGAGAGAGAAGCAAGGGCTCGACGCTGTTAAGGCAGTTCTCGATACACTCACAGAAGCTGGTTACAGCAACAAGACAACAACCACAAGGGTTATGATTCAGTCAACTAACAGTTCAGTCTTAGTTGAATTCAAGAAACAGAGCCGGTATGAGACAGTGTACAAAGTCGAAGAAGTCATCCGCGACATCCTCGACTCTGCAATCGAAGACATTAAGAAATTTGCGGATGCTGTTGTCATTAGAAAAACATCAGTCTTCCCCACCAGCGAAAGTTTCACCACTGGACAAACTAAACTAGTGGAGAGGCTGCAGAAGTTTCAGCTTCCCGTTTACGTAGAAGTGTTCCGGAACGAGTTTGTTTCTCAACCATGGGATTTCTTCGCTGATGCAACTGTCGAGATTAACTCGCATGTTACTGGAGCTGGTATCAATGGAACAATCACTGACTTCCCTCTCACAGCCGCGAGATACAAAAGTAAAGTGAAAAAAGACAAAAGGTTTTCTGTTTTCATAACATTTTAGAATTTTGATTGTTTTGATGTTCCTTCTCAGGGAACTCGTGCTTGACCCGCAAAGACCCGCCTCCTTACATGATACCAGTTCAGCCTGCTGGCCTCTTAACCATCGTGAGTCCCGCTTCTTTACCTCCAGCCGAAGCACCAAACCCAGTAATCACAGATGCTGATGTCACTGAACCACCATTACCTCCAGTCACAGCCAGAGCCCCAACCACCACCCCTGGACCTCAATCAACAGGTGAAAAGACTCCCAACGGACAAACCCGAGTCGCTCAATCTCTTCTTCTTTCTGCATTTGCTACGGTTTTTGCCTCTCTTCTACTTGTGTGATCGCATTGATCCTGTCACCCGCGCCAGTAGAATTTCTTTGTGAGATTGATTGAGTCCTCAGGAAATTTTTTTCCTCCTAACAGTTCTTGAGATTCTTTGCAGTGATGAGTTTCTGTTGGGGTTTTGTCTGTTCATATTCTTCGTTATCTTTGTTAGTTTCTGGCCAAAGAAGTAAATTCTTGGACGTAAATTTGTATCATGGGGATTCATTTGTTGTTGTAACATTAATCACTGTAATCTTCTTTTAATCTCTTGTGTGTTGTGTACTTGTAGTAGTACTTGTGAGACTTTTATGTTTTCTGAATGCCTTCAACTATTTTAATCTGAAAGGATAATTTTACATTATGCAAGAGAATATAAAAACATACTAATATATTACATGTCATTATTAACATAACAAAATTGGTGTCTTGTCCTAATCCTGAAAAAGTGATGTCTAATCGTAATAATTGGGCTTTTACTTTAGACTACTTAAGGATCCAAATTAAATAAAATGGGCTTTTAGTCGGAAGACCAAATAGTGAAATTCAATAACTTTCTTCAGATCTTTCGATGAAGCTCTCGGGACTGGGCTTAACAACGAAGACAGAGATCTTGTGGGGATATTTCTTGGTGATCATCGGTTCTGTTTCCTTCTTCGGATTCGTCATTGCAGCCATGTCGTCGAATGATAGGCACTACTTCTTCTTGGTTCCATTGACTCTACCAGTTATTATTGTTGCTGTCTACTTTCATTGGCTTAGCATGAAGCTATTCAAGCACGCCTGATACATCCATTTTTGAGATTCTATTTTGTGAGTTCAATTTCACATTCTTGACAAATTCATTCATTACTGGGTAACAGAGAAGCTATGGGATACATTATTGCAAAAAACTATACCATATAATTATAGTTTTGATCCACTGGCTGGGAACAATGTAAAGTTTCCCTAGATACAACCAAATAATATATAATATCATGTAATAATAAAACTAATGTAGTTTCAACTTGAGTGAAAGATTTGCTGGCTATCGTGGACGGAAATTATACAATCTTCTAGTCATTGATGAAGTAGTAACCGGATTGTCCTTGATCACTAGTGGAATTTTGTAATCAGGATCTCCAAGATTGTCATCATCATCTGTTAAATCTGTATCAACCCAAGATGTCCAATCTACCTCGCTCTCTGTATCTTCATCGTACGAGAGATCTTTATTGCTTTGCATGCCATTAACCTTATCAACTAATCTTAACAAGATTTGATGGTTTAGTACTTCATAGTCCCTGCATTTTTAGACAAGAGGGTATATATGTATATCATCTTTTGAGTTTTGGTTAATCAAAACATATAGTATATTTTTTTGCGTTTTGGTCATACCTGTATGAAAAAGCAGCATGAAGAAGCTGAGCTGAAGCAAGAAGAGCAAATAAAGACCTGATTAGGTTTATAATCCATGCTTGGCGTTCTGTATCATTCACGTATCGCAAACTTGCCACTTCTAATGCCAGAGTAACGCACAAACCTGCATTAGCGTAAGGGAAAATGTCTGTTAAACTAATGGAATTTAGTGTCATGAATATGGTATGAGATAGAGATTTGGAATATGGTGGTCACTTACCAATGTAAAGCCTTGGCCTTATGATATAAGTTTGTTTTGTACTTGTAAACATGTAGATGACAAAGATTGACAAGAAGTAGATGACGAAGGCTTTTATCACTCGGGACTCGAGAAGCATCGCATTGTGCAGAGCAAACAGCTTATCCAAAGCTACAAACATGTTTGCTTGTTTCGCCTCAAACGCTTCCTGCAAAAACAGATTGTTATATAACGTTGTTTTATGTGATCTTGAATTTTGTTAAGGTTTAGAGGACTGACCTGAGCTTCTAACATTGATTTTGAATTTTCAAACAAGTGATCATGAACCTCCTGAAGCTTTTCTTGCCGCTTTGCAAGATCTTCCTGTTGCTCCTGACTAAATTCCTTCAAACGTTGCAAGGTATTCCTACAATGTTGCAGCGAAAACAGAACACGGTTAGATCTTGGAGAAAAGTGTCTTGCCTTTGAATTTAAACTGATCATATGTATTTGAAAATATTACCTACTCTCTTGCAGTGCCTCAGACTGAAACCGAGTAAGAAACTGAATACCGTCAAGAGCCACAGATTGCCCGTCTAAAAGCTTCTGTTGTTTTTCCAACGAACTACCAGCCTTAATTCCGATGTCTTCGGTTGTACTCTGCAAATCTACCATTTTGGTTGATAGGTTATTTCCAAGTACACTTATTTCCACCTCAATCTGCTTAGTATCGCTTTTCAACTTATCTACTCCTTCTTGGATGTTAGTATACGCATCGCTGAACATCTCCATTCCATCTTTCAACGTTTCTTTCATCTTCACTTGACCGTCCATTAGCGCAAGCTGTGATTCTGCAATGTTCTTTTGTTCTTGAGAGATTTCTATAGTTTGTTGAGACAGTCCACTCACACTAGTTTCTAAGGTGTTTGCCACATGAGCCACGTTTTGAACCCGGACATCTAGTGAACCTAAAGAATCATGAATCATGCTCGAGGTCTGTATTAAAGAATCAGATTTACTCTCCAAGATATCCAATTTATCTTCTGTATTCTGAGCTGTACTCTTGAGTTCATTCACAAGCCTCTCTATCTCATGCTTGAATGCATAACTCCTGCCATACAAAAAAAAAGAAGCAAATTGAGAAACCATTTCGCAAACAAAAGTGATAAAAGCTAGAAAAATATTCATGTTAAAGATTTATTTTTCTTACTGTAATTGTTGGCAGATGGTGTTGGTTTCAAGCAAGAAATCGAGATAGATCTTATGCTCATGATCATCCAGCTTCTTGAGGCAACTCATCATTGTTGATTCATCTTTACAGGTTGGAAAAGCAGTTCTTCCCGAGTCTTTGATGAAGCAATCACTCAAATACCAAGCAAATCTCTTTCTCTTTTCTTCTGTAGCAATCGTTTCTTTGCAGCCAGTGAAGAGGTAACTATAAGCATTTTGCCAGCAACTGTTTGGACCATCAAGTTTGTTTTTAGCGTCTTTAAGGACTCGAACCGCCTTCTGATCACTGAAAACTTCCATGGAGAAGTCCGGGTTGGATTTGTAAGACCGAGAGAAAGAAGAAGAGTATGTATCTTTTGCTGAGGAAGAAGAGGAAGAAGAGAACCATCCCCAACTGTGGCATGTTAATGGAGAATCTAAAAGTACGATCAATAGAAACATAAGAAATTTTCTGCTCAAACGATCCATTTAATCGGTTTTTTTTTTCTTTTCTTTTGATCTTCTTCTTGTTGAGGAGATTTGTGATTGATCACCTACGAACAAACAAAAGAGACAGAACATTACATTCTGAGAATTTTGTTGTATATATAACAGAAAACTTGGAGCGCACGAAAAGGAAAGCCCTTGAACTTCCAATTAGATAAATGGAAGTTTTTTCTTTTTTGGTATCATCGTCATTAATAAGGTTCATAAAGTAAAAAAAGATTATTAACAAATCAAGATGCATATTAGAAAAGAAGAAAATAAATCTCATTAAACTCTTCAGAAAAATCTTTCTAAAACAAGGAAGAATCTGTATCTATCTGTTTTTCGTTTTCTGAGATTAATACATGCATTTGAAGTCGTATCAATTGAGATAAACCAAAAACCATTATTACTAAGAAAAAAGATCGAAGAACAGTCTTAAAAAATTCACACAAAAAAAGTGAAATCAAATTTATCGTAAAGAGGACAAGAAAATTACATTACAAGACAAGGTTAACTTCAAAATCGATATTGGGAGAAAAACATAACAACAAAAAAAAATCTAAAAATAGTTATATTACTTTGAATCAATGAAGAATCTCTACGTTTTTGTCAGTCAATTTCATAACAGAGTGGCAAAACAAATCAAGTACAAAAATAAACACGGAAATCAATTTCAGTTCTATAGAATAATTTTCTCAAAAAATATATTTACATGAATCTAAAACGAAACACTTACTTCATCATAAGTTTCAAAACAATAAATTAAAGAATTAATAGACAGTAGTAATACAAAACTTAACACTAGGCTTACCAGACAACAGAAGAATTGCAGATTTTTTTGAGTCGGTGATTAGGAAGAAAGTGAGAAATGGAAACTAAAAAGTAGTAACTTGAACGTGTTTGACAAAAAGATGGAAACGTTTCGCGAACGTTTGGTTTACTTCCCGGTTTAATTTGATTTTGGTTATGTGATTAATTTATTTCTCGGTTCGGTTAAATTTGGATCCGGTTCAATGGTATAAGAATTTTTAGTCAAAAGCAAAATGCCAAACAATACACAGATAGGGAGGAATGATGGAATCTTCAGCTTTAATAAATCTGCAGACTCTTAAAATTCCGATTCATCTTCACCTTTTTCACCTTCAAGCACAATTTTCCGGCGAAACAGCCGATGAAGTCTCGCCTGAATCTGTTTTACCTTTCACCGGCGATTGACTTTACTTCCGAATCGAGAGAGAAGAAATCGATGGAAATCTAAAAATAGAAAGAGATTTCAAATTCTCGCTCTCTCTTCAAAAAACCGCAAATTAAGGAAACGAGAGAGAGAGATATGAGTAAACGGAATCCGAAGATTCTGAAGATTTTTCTGTATATGTTACTTCTCAACTCTCTCTTTCTCATCATATACTTCGTTTTTCACTCATCGTCGTTTTCACCGGAGCAGTCACATCCTCATTTACCTTTACGGTTTCACGTTTCAGTGAATAACCAATCGGCGATTCAGAAACCGTGGCCGATCTTACCTTCTTACCTCCCATGGACGCCGCCGCAGAGGAATCTACCAACTGGCTCTTGCGAAGGCTACTTCGGGAATGGATTTACGAAGAGAGTTGACTTCCTTAAGCCGATGAGAGAAGGAAGCTGGTTTCGTTGTTTTTACAGTGAGACGTTGCAGAGTTCGATTTGTGAAGGAAGGAATCTGAGAATGGTTCCAGATCGGATTGTTATGTCGAGAGGAGGTGAGAAGTTAGAGGAAGTTATGGGGAGGAAAGAGGAGGAAGAGCTTCCTGAGTTTCGACAAGGTGCGTTTGAGGTGGCGGAAGAGGTTTCTTCACGGTTAGGTTTTAAGAGACACCGTCGTTTTGGTGGAGGAGAAGGAGGAGGAGGAGGCAGTGCGGTTTCTCGGCGGCTGGTGAATGATGAGATGTTGAATGAGTATATTCAAGAAGGTGGAATTGATAGACATACAATGAGAGATTTGGTTGCTTCGATTCGTGCTGTTGATACCAAAGATTTCGTTTGTGAAGAGGTTTGTGTATTGTACTGATTGATCTGTTGAATTAGATTGTCTTTTGGTGAAAAGATTGCATAATTGGAAACTTTTGAGTTTGGAAGTCCAAATTTCATTCATATATGCAGCAATGAATTATTGAAATTGAGAATTAAGCTTTTCACTGTTCATATTAGGTTGTGGTTTCTGAGGTTCTTGAAATATATGTAACGTTCTTGCTGATTGATATTTGATTGGCCTCAGTGGGTGGAGGAACCAACCTTGCTTGTCACTAGATTCGAGTACGCAAATCTCTTCCATACCGTGACAGATTGGTATAGCGCTTATGTTTCCTCTAGAGTCACCGGTTTGCCTAATCGACCACATGTTGTTTTCGTTGACGGGCACTGCACGGTACGCTCCTCTTCTTGTACATGGTCATGAATATGATCCTTCCATGAGCTGGGAAAGTCCAGTTCCATTTACCCCAACTATCTTTAGACTTGCAGTTACTCTTGGTTACATGATTTGGAATTCTTCTGTTTTATGGTTTTAGTAAGAGTGTCATATCCATGTTGTGAACCTTTTTGCAGACGCAGCTAGAAGAAACATGGACAGCTTTGTTTTCCGGAATTAGATACGCAAAGAATTTCACCAAACCGGTTTGTTTCCGCCACGCGATTCTTTCACCATTGGGATACGAAACTGCACTTTTTAAAGGCTTGACGGGAGAAATAGATTGCAAGGGAGAATCTGCTCACAACCTGTGGCAAAACCCGGACGATAAAAGGACTGCAAGGATATCAGAGTTTGGCGAAATGATCAGAGCAGCTTTCGGGTTTCCTGTCAACAGACACCGCTCATTAGAAAAACCGCCATCATCATCAACATCAACCTCTGTTCATAACGTTCTCTTTGTCCGCCGTGAAGATTATTTAGCCCATCCTCGTCACGGCGGTAAAGTCCAGTCTCGGCTCATCAATGAGGAAGAAGTGTTCGACTCGTTGCATCACTGGGTCGCGACTGGCTCCACCGGTCTGACCAAATGTGGGATTAACCTTGTGAATGGCTTGCTTGCACACATGTCAATGAAAGATCAAGTTCGCGCCATCCAAGAGGCGTCAGTGATCATTGGTGCTCATGGAGCAGGACTCACTCACATTGTATCTGCAACACCAAACACAACGATATTTGAGATAGTGAGCGTAGAGTTTCAGAGACCTCATTTCGAGCTCATAGCTAAGTGGAAAGGATTGGAGTATCACGCGATGCATCTGGCGAACTCACGAGCGGAACCAACAGCTGTGATTGAGAAGTTAAAGGAGATCATGAAGAGCCTTGGCTGCTAAAGAAAAAATACAAGAATTTGGGATAGTGAGTGAGTTCGAATCTCTGGTGACCGGTGGGTCTGGATTCTGGAATATTTTGATACTTTGTATTTTTGTATCATTTTTTCGATGGGTTAATGATGTGTAAATTGGCTTTGCTTTTTTTTGTACTAAACATGATTTCTTCTAATGGTTATTTATTAATCTTCTGTTGAGTAAAATAAATACACTGTCGAGGGATAAACAAAAAAGAGACTTCTCTGACGTGTTTCTTCTGGTAATATGGACATTCAGATCAAATGGAAAACGAAAATAAAGAATGGAGATGCGGGGTATCGATCCCCGTACCTCTCGCATGCTAAGCGAGCGCTCTACCATCTGAGCTACATCCCCACTTATTTACTCTTTCAGTTTGTTTTATATAACAAATTTGCAACAAGTTTTGTCAAAGAAACATTGTTACCAAGAAAAATAGTGACGTAAATTTAATTTGAACAAAAATAAGATAAATTTTTAATTCCTCATATTCATAGACCGGTTGACCTTTTAGTTAAGATATACTAATTGAAAATTTCAATTCTTTAACTTAAAATACAATCAACGATTCACGATCGCAGTATATCATTAAAATAATGGGGCTAATTGAGATGTGATTAAACTTTATTACTGACAAAAATTAATAATTAAAAAAAAAAAAAAAAACCAGAAAAGAAACAAAGAAAAAGTTTGGCCAAGCTTACAAAAATCACTTAACCAAACCAATTGTAATACTCCGACGCTGCGCCGGAACTGTGGAAAAACTTTCAAAGAATCCGACACTGTGGCTCGCCGGTAACTCCGTCTCGCGTCGGTATCTGCGGCGGCGGAGAATACAACATTTCCGGTACGTAATAAGGATAATAATAATACGGATACGTCACAGGAGGCTGTTGTTCGGTAAACGGAAATTGTTGGTAGTTCATATACGGTGGCGCCGACGGCGATTGATACATCGGCGATAATTGTGGCCACGGTGGCGGCAGATTTAGAGAATTGGCGTGAGGAGGAGGAGTAACGTGACCATAATCCATGTGGATTAATTGAGCATGTTTCTTAGCTTTACGAATCCTCAGAATAATCTCAGGGCTAATTTTGCCGGAGAGATAGGCTAATCCTCTCGTCGCGTCGATTGTGTATGTTACATCTGCTCAAAATCATTACAAAACATAACAACATTTCCATTACTATAATCTTTAAAATAATAATAATTAGAAAAAACAAATAAGCAAGATTTAGATAAAAGTACCATGAATGCCTTTAAAAAGCTTATGCATAGATTTGTCCCATCCACTAGTCTGAGTATCAAGCCTTAGAACGCAAGTCTGCAAGAAAAAGGAACCAAGTCATGATGATGATGATGATGATGATGATGTGTAATGTCATCATGATTACAATAATGATGAATGATGATGATAAGAGAAAGAAGAGAGACCATTTGAGAAGAAGAAGAAAGAGGATCCAACATGGCTTTGTGTTATTAGTTACTGTTTCAAAGTACTTTGGTTAGAACCAAAGACCTGTTTATAAAGACACTGACTGTAGAAGATATTTTCTTTCTAAGATACAATTTGTTTTTCTTTAAGGTATTTAGATTAATGGTATTAAATCAGAGTACTTAATCTGACCATTGTATACCATTTATGTACTGCAAGTTGATTTGTTACTGCATCTGCGGATCTGCCTTCACACTTATCTCCACTGCTTGTGGTCAATGAAACACCAAATCTTTCAAAAGAATTAACTAGTGTTAAAATTGTTTTATACAAGATTTAATCAACTTAAAATACAATTCAATTTTATTTCAAATCAAATTTTGTTTGAATCCAACAAAATAAAACTACAATTCATGTATAAACTAAAAAAAATCAAATGTACAAACAAAAATCATGCTAAACTCAATCTTCATTTACCTACTAATATCATTAAAATATAACACCCTAAAATATATTCTTAAGGATCTACTGCTTAAAATGCCAATGCCCAATGATCAATTAGAATTTAGAGACGACCATATGAAGATTTCGAAAATTCGGCTTAAAACTCCAAAATTAGTTCTGGACTTAGTCCTAGAAACTTTGTTATGAAAACAAATAAAGGTAACACACCTCTTTTCTCATTGGCTCATGCAGCAAAACCATTTTTCAAAATCTGTTTTCAAAATCTACAACAGGCATAAGAAGAAGTAGGAATAAAATCAACGAGCACGAGGAAATTTGAGCTTCTTGGGTTTCGTTAAGGAGTTGCAGAAAGAAGTGAAAGCTCCTTTGATTTCATCATGGACTGGGAGAGCCAACGAGAGCAGCGGTAAATCATGTTGGATACTTCTGGTTTGGTGTCTCAACGAGACAGAGTGAGCCAAAGCCGTTTGCCTTTTGTTGAGCCCTTCAAGGATGAAGGAGAAGGCACCAAAAGTAAGACAACTCTGTAGCATTGCTTGCGGTGCACCTGCAAACACACGATCATAGGGGTTAGCTCGGCATGCATCATCAAATTCACATAGAGACCTTTTTAAACGTAAATAGCTAACATAGTTCATCATCTTAACTGTAACAGGAATAGTACCGATAATATACTTGCAAATTCGGGGATATGAATTCATTTCTTACCGGGGAAACTAAGAGCAAGGCCGGTACAGCACCCAGCAACTCCAACATTTATGGCTGCAGAAGCCAGAATGGAAGAAAATTGAACATATAAGCAAAGTCATGCTAGAAGTTGAATATTATTATCGTAGGATTAAGAACGGTTCAGAGGGAGAAATGTTAAAAGAGTCTCACCGTCATCTTTCCCTCGTATTTGCTTCAGAAGGCAAACAACCAAACTGTGTACTCCAGATAAAACCGCAAAAGTCTAACAAGAAACCACAATTCATTCAGTTTTCTTTCAACGAATAGTATACAGGGAATAATAACCTTATGCAGTTTCAATAAAACTTAAGATTTAGGCACCTTTGCAGACTGACCCGCATCCACAAATGATCCCTTAAATCCTTTCTTCTTAAACAATCCAGAACCTGAACACCAACTCATATCCGTGAGATGAATTGTTCGATCATAGATTCAAATTAAACAACACATAAAATGATTCTCCAGTTGTCAACACTAAAAAGCTAAAGCTAAAGTTGACTGCAAAACAAAAGCAAACTAGAGGAACTGCTCTGTTCTATAAAAGCTACACCAATGAAGTCTACACAGACCATTGTTGTTCCTTAAGAGCTCATAAAATTCTAGAGGAATTTTAGGCACTAACTCAATGTTTGATCAATCCTTAAGTAATCTAGTTTTTCCTATAGTCATCGTTAACATAGTCTAAACACAAACTTCAGAGTTTAATAGAAACTTCAAAGCTAAGTCTCACCAACGATTGCTCAACCTCTAATTCAAATACTTTGTCATCAAATAAATCTCAGAACAACACAGAATCAATGGAGATAATAAAAGACAAATGAAGAGAAATTGAAATTATCACCATAGCCAAATATAGAGCCCATGAAGGCGCCACTAGCAGCATCTCCGGCGAAACGTACGAGACAAACGGCGGGAGAAGGGATTACCAATGCTTTGGAAGAGTCATGATTAGTCACATCATTAGCTTCATGGTTAGGTTTTGAATCGGAATTGAGACTCGTGTCGACGTCAATGGCGTTTGAAGAATTCTCAGCCGCCATAGCTTATGACCTCTCTGAAACTTGAAGACACTTTTCGATTTCTACCTAATCTTCAAAAATTAGAAACAGAGTTTTTGTTTATCTTCATAGAGTTTATTTTTATACCTGTAGCCAAACACTATATTCATTATGGGCCTCAATTTTGGCCCACTTGCTTCTCTAGGTATGGGCCTTTATGTTAAATATGTTATGAAGAATTTGCAGAAACTTATATATATGAGGCACAGGCCTGCCCAAGATGGGTTTGTCTGGTACATGGACATGACTAAAGAAGTTTTTTGTTCTTGAAATGAAATGGATCAATTAGTGACATGAATCAGTAATGATGGTCATGGTCTTGATATATGGCTCCAAACTCAGCTCTCCATGCCTGATCGTCTGTATAATCGTCATAGCTCACCACACCGGTTCTGTGTTCTGATGATGATACATGTTGTTCTTCTTCCTCTTGCTCATTCTCCTTGAACCATGCCTCTAGTGCAGACCCAGGTAATTTGCTTTCTGCAAGATATTGCTTCATTGTGCTCATTTCTGTTTTGTGCTTACTCTTTAGCTTCTCCATTTGCTGCTTCAACTTGTCATTCTCTTCTTCCATTAAGCTGAAACGTTCCTGCAAAATCAAAATGTAGAATTCACAATCGAGCCAATCATAAACAAAAAGTTGCAGGTGTCATTGAAAGTTACCTCAGAGGATTGTACAGCTTGCTCAGCTTCTCGGAGTCTGACAAGTAATTCTCCAGCAGCTTGAACAGCTTCAACAGTATCTCGCAGTTGAATTTTGAGGCCCTTGTTTTCCTTTTTCAAGAAATCTCTTTCTTTCTCCTTCTCAGCTCTAATGGCAGTAAGTTCAGCTGAAAAAGCTTTTGCAAAACGCTTCCCGTGGCGACCTTTCAGAGCAGCTTTAGCCGCTGCTTTCTTCACATCAACTATTCCTGCCATCGTCACGCTATGCCTCTCAGCTAATTCATCATACTTCTCCTGTAGTTCTGTGTACTGCTCGATGAATCTACTGTGACCAAGCATGGCTCTATTAAGAGCATCATTTAACTCCTCTGTAGCCATTTTCTCCTTTTTGAGCTCTATCTCTAGATCCTCAGCGTGTCTACGATGGCTATCAATATCCATCCTTAGATCATCTGTTAAAGATATCCATTCACTCTCCATTTCTGTCCACCTTTCACGTTCTTCTTCTATAGCACCGTTGTTGTTCTCAATGTTCTTGGTAAAATCAGTGCTCTTCCTCATTTGGAAAGACCGTAACAGCAAAGAAGATCTCAGATTATCCGTTGATTTTGTAGGCTGCAACTTACTTTTTAGCTCTGCAATCTCCTTTAAAAGAGCTTCCTTTTCATTGAGATCAATCCTTACTTTCCCAAACTCTTCACTACGTTGGTTTGTCTCATATGTTTCCTTCACGACCTCAGTCGCATCTTCTCCATCATCGGATTTCATTAGCTGCACAAACAGATAAGCATAGCTAAAGTTATCTTGCAAACAATTTACTAATGTGCTTGTTTCTGTGAAATGTAACTTGTTGGCTTACCTTACTTGACTCCCGAACAGTGTTCTCTTTGTATTGGTCTAACTGAAGAATTATTAAAACAAAGTGTCAGCAAATTCAAGTTCAACATTTAACACTCAATAGTCTCACCATAAGTTTATAAGTTATTTACCTGACAAGTAAGCTGCTCAATTTTGGTAGCCTGCTCCACACATATGTTCTTGAGATGCATCTCATCCCCGCAAGCTTCTTCTATTGCCTTATATCCTCCCTAATAATATAAGATATAAGTTGTCAAAACGAATAGCCTACTAAGAAACTGAAAATGAATGGAAGAAAATGCATCTCAGGGTTTTTAGACATACTTCAGCTTCTTGGTCAAGTTTCTGTCTGCAAGAAAGACAGAGGAGAATCGATGATCCACCTTCTTTTGGCCTATCTTCCTGTAACAGCTTAACCGAAGCACTAAGATTATCGCTTTCATCGCAAGGCTTCAGAGAGAGATGCCCGAACGAGAAGGAAACAGAAGATCTGTTTGACAGCGAATTCCGCTGGTGACAGTCTATAATATGCAGTCCTCTCTGGAGACTTGCAGCTAGAGAATCTGTAGGACTTAAAGGCTTCTTGGACATAGAAGGGCCAAAGTGTTCAACTTTTTTGTTTCCGATGTTGGAGCTCTCATTTCCATTCCTAGGACTTGCCACGCTCTTCCTAAAATTCCTAATCTTTGGAGATTCTGACAAAGGAGGCTCTTCAAGAATACGTGATTGATGTGGTAAACTGATTGAAATCCCATTTCCCAGAGAATCAGCCAAGGCACAATCTTTGTGAATCCCATCCTTGTGTTTATCAACAGAGCAAATCTCATCTCCACTCATTGACTCTGCTTCACAGCCTGAAGCACTAGCAAAGGAGGATTGAATCGAATCCCTCAAATCATCAGTATCACAGAAAGTGTGAAACTTGTTAATATGTTTACTCAGTTCCATCACATCATCATCATCCTCATACATTGTTTCTTCTTCTGAACCTTCTTTGTTTTCACACGACATGACTAGAGACTTGTTGATGCTGTTTCTCAACTGACTCAAACTGCCCCTCACAAAGTACCCATTTTTGCTTCCATCAGGTTTGTACCCATCAGACTTGGTTCTTATTAGTTCCTCCTATAAACCATAAAACCCAACATTATACACAAACACCATTATTCAGACACACAAATACGCAACCAATATGTGACAAAAAAAGAAACCTTTAGTTCACGAATTTGGTCACCCAGTGAATCATCTTCCTCTGTAATCTCATTAGCCATTGAGTTAGCTCTTGTAACGAGTACGCTCTTCGCTTCAAACTGCTTTGATTCAATTTAAAACTCAGAGACGGAAACAATAACTTCAAATCCAAAGGAACGAAACCCTAATCATAGAAAGATCTTAAGTTATATGGATCTACCTGAGTCGATTCGTTTTGAGGCGATTTTTTCTTCAAGTGAAAATCGTTGTTGTTTAGATGATGATTAGTTTGTATGTTTGGGTCACAAGGAGGAGCGTTCTCGTCGTTGGATCTGAAACTCTTAGTATCTGAGTTTTGGATCGATTTCTGCTTCGCGTAGATGGATCTGGGAAGCAGATTTCGGATAGAAGAAGTCGAAAGGTTTCCTAAGAACCGATTCTCTCCGATCTTCGCTGGTGACTTCATCGTTTTCATAACAGAGATTGAGAAAAGAAGATACTTTTAGATCTAGAGAGAAGAGAGGAGATAGAGAGTGGGAGAGGATTTGAACGTTATGTGTTGTGAGAGAGACAGAGAGGAAGACGATAAAGGTAGCTTTTTTTTTTTTTGAAAGTTTGAGTATATTCGACCGTTGGAGTTTCAAAAAAGGGAAAAATACAAAATAGCCATTACCGACGATAAGAGTAAAATGTGGGACGCACTCGGAAATGGGCTTCACGTGTTGGGCTTTTAAATGGGTGTTTTATTTCCGTAACATAAATGGGCTTGTTACACTTTCAAAATACTACTCTTTATTAAATTAGCAGTCATATATTTTGTTTTCATTAACACACGAATAGCTGCAACGTCCATGTTGACCCCAACAAATTACCATCCGTGTACAAAATCAATTTTCAGTTTTATTTCAATAATAACGATTTCTATGATTACAAGTAATTAGTTGAATTTGTGGTGATTGATGAGAATTTTGTGGGGAGAATAATTAAACAATAATTCGGGATTGGGAGAAAAGTTGATTTGTACGTTAATAAATGGAATATAAGATTTTAAGCAACTAAAAGGAAAGAGGTAGGCATCGAGATGATAGTGACATTTTTTTCTTTTGTTATAATGTCAGCAATTATAGTTTGAAAATTTTGGCAAGAGATACATATATAACCAATAATTGTCGCAAGAATAAAAGAAAACAAAACAATGATATTGAATTTACACATGAATAATGACGATACTCTATAAAATTAAAAAAAAATCAGCACTTTTTGGATCTTTTTATTATTTTAGCTTTCTTGTGGGTTCTACACATCTCCAATATTTTCTAACTTTTATATATCATATCTAACTTTAATTTGTGTACTCATGCATTCATATCCACTCATTTTCTTAAGAAAAATAATATATTATTTATAACTTTATATAGTTGAAGAAAAAATAGTTACAGTTCAATTTCACTTATTTATTTCATAAATTCCATACTATTTTACAAATTCTTAAGTATATTTGCATTTCATTTTAACTAACATACGTCATTTGTTTTTACATACTAAGTTCTTACGGTTCATATATCGGAGCTTTATTTTAACAAAAAAACAAAATATATATCGGAGCTTTATATTTTGTTAATTAATAATCATGTGCATAACACATAACTCATACGCCACCATGTAAAAAATGTAGACATCTAATATTAGTATATTCTTTTTTTTTAAACATAATATTAGTTATTCATTCACGTGAATATTAAATATATATCTCTAAAAATACATTCAATAAAACAATGCAGTAAATGTCAATCAAAAATAAAACAAAAAATTGTCAAAATGTTCATACAAATTTTAATTTATGTCAAAAATATATATCATTTTTTTTATTTAATTCTTATATTTCTATTACCATCTACATTATTAACCCATTTATATTTACAGGGAAAAAAAAAGCCAAATATAATTAAAGTTAAAGATCATGTGATAATCACTTGATATGCTTTGCCAAAAACTGACGTGTAGGCCCCAAAGCCCATTAGCTCCGAATAATAATAAAAAAAAAAACGCTCTTCTCTTCTATCTTTTCTTATTCTTCCTTTTTTCTCCCAATAACTTTGCAAATTTACAAAAAGAACCAGCAAGACTCCATTAACGCTTTTGCCAGGCCAACAGCAAAAAAAAAAGCTCACAGCTTTTCCATCTTCCAAATATCTCTGTAAGTGATTTCATCCGCGTGAAGTACTATTGTAAAGCTTTCTTTTTTCTAATGGTCATGAAAACAAAAAAGAGGTAAAGCTTATAGCTATCAATCTAACTTTTCACAGCCGAAACAGTTGAAAATTTGAAGTCTATGTCCCACCTTCCTTAGTGGTCCGCCATTGAAGTGACTGTGCTAAACC